TATGATTCCACTCAGTAGGTCTCCTTTATGAAATATTCTCCTTGTTATTTTACAAGACAACATAATCATCATTTTTCTCCTTCTTTCCTGGATAATCCTACTTGTCTGGCTTCTCCCTTCTACCCTACCATAAATATCAGATTTTCTCAAGATTTGCTTCTCCCTAAGTGGGCTCATTGACTTCCAAAGCTTTAAATGCCATCTCCTTTGGGAAACGCCAGCATGGACAGCCCTAGCGCCAGCCTGTCCTCAAATGCCAGGTTTGTGTCAGCTGCTATTGACCTCTCCTTGGTTATCTTAAGAGTATCTCAGACACACAAGGTACAAAATGGAACTGATGTTCTGCTCTCAGCTCTCCCTCCTGCAGTTCCATTGTCTATGAGGTTGCATTGTTAGAGAACTCGGCCTTTCTCTCCCTTACCTGCCACGTACAATCCAGCAGCAAGTGCCATAGGCACCCCCATCGAAGGAGATCTCCAGCCACCTCTCCCTGTCGGCATTGACATCAGCCTTGTTGAAGCCTGCCTCACCCTTCGCCTGGGCTCTGCAACACCCTCTCACTTTCCCCATCCTCACCGCTTCCCAACACACCAGAATCTCTCCCACCTAGCTGCCAAAATGTATTGCAAACTGTACATTATAACACATCACTCTCTTGCATAACATCTGTCTATGATTTCCCCTTCCTCTCAGAATAAAATCTGTGCCTCACCAAGGAGCATAATTTGCTATGTTCTGATTCCTAAATATTTCTCCAACTGTATTGTTTTTTTTTTCCATTTTTCTCCTTCCCCATTATTCTTCAAATACATTGACTTCCTTTTTCCCACTGCCTATAACATGCCAGCTCTTTGTTATTCTGAGAATTTTCATTTGTTTTTCCAGAACATTGACTGTCTAGCTCCATCTCAGCCCTTGGGTGTCAGAGAGCTGACTCCTCCAGTTAATAACGCTCTCTCTGCCAGATATACCACCACCCTCTTTAATTCTTCCATAGCGCAAGTGTATTTGTTCCCACGTTGTTATTTGTTTTCTTCCCAGTAGACTGTAAGCCCCTAAGAGTGGAGCTGATACAATGCTTGGTGCACAATAAAAAGTTTTTGAATGGGTGACTAAATTATTAGAGCTTATAAAGAAGATAGTATTAAAAGCCTTGAAATTTTTTTGAGTAAAGAGAAGTCAAGTAAATGGCAAAATGTTTAAATACTGTTGGGCTTCCCTTGTAGCTCAGATGGTAAAGAATCCACCTGCAATGTGGGAGACCTGGGTTCGATCTCTGGGTGGGAAAGATCCCTTGGAGAAGGGAAAGTCTACCACTCCACTATTCTGGCCTGGAAAATTCCATGGATTGCATAGTCCATGGGATCACAAAGAGTCAGACATGACTGAGCAACTTTAACTTTTAAATCCCAGTGCATTTTGACCATTGTCTGGGCTAGATGCCAACCTAACTATATGGAAGGGTATAATAGATAAGCTAATAAATGAAAAATGATCTATTTCCTTGCATGTAAATTTTATATTAAATTACTTGTGGTGAGGAGCCGTTCATTCATTCTCAATGATATCCTAAATCAAAAGCAGAGTGTCTTTCTCTGCCCTAGAGATTAAATTATTCCATTTATGTCAAATGATGGTAGTGCTTACTAACCCAGAGTTAGTAAGAAACATAAACATTTGAAAAGTCCATAGCTTGATGAGATTGGTACTAAAAGATCTTTCTCATCCTCCTCCTCCTTCTCCTTCTGCTTCTCACCACATGTTATCTGCCTCCAATGGTGCTTCCCTGGTGGCTCAGACGGTAAAGAGTCTGCCTGCAATTCAGAAGATCTGCGTTCCATCCCTGGGTCAGGAAGATCTCCTGGAGAAGGAAATGGCAACCCACTCCAGTATTCTTGCCTGGAGAATCCCATGGACGGAGGAGCCTGGCAGGCTACAGTCAGTCCATGGGGTCACAAAGAATCAGACACAGCTGAGCAACTTTCACATACATACACATTAAAAGTGGATAACTTGTTTTGAACTTCTAAGGTAGACTTCACTTTAAGTAGACTTTTGTTTTATTGGGGAAGTCAAGATAGAATCATTTACATAACTGTGCATTGAGTATGTAGCTCTTACACAGATTTGCTAACTTCATTCACTCTACAGGACGTAGATTAAACAGAGCCATCTAAGAACTATCTGTTGACTTTGAACAACCAGTTATTAACCAGATGACCTGCAAACATGTCCTGGATTCAGTTTGTGGTTGTCAGTTGGAATTTGTGGGAAAAAAAATAAGAAAATTTTGTTGAAAAAATAACCCCATTCTACAAGTGTTTTTTAAGAATCTCCTATGTCTAAGGCAGAGTACTTGGTACTCTGAAGACTACAGTGATTTATCAGAAGTGATTCCAACTGTCAAAGAGTTCTGTCAGGTAATGTGTTTATCTTATACATAACTGCAAAGTACAAGGTGAAAGAAAAAAAGTTACACCATAGAGGTGAAAAATAACATGATGTAGAAATTCAGAGGAGAAAGATGATTTTCACTGGGGGTGTTAGAAAAAATCTTCCACAGGCAGTCACTTGTCCCTGTGTTTTGAAAATTTAGCAGGATCTGGTTGTATAGAATAGATTCCTGTCTTGGCAAAGTCATGAAGTCAGGAAAACTCCAGAGCTACATAGGGAAGGATGAGTGGATCAGAAAGTGAATGGAGGGGATGGGAAGTAAGATTGGAGAAGCAACTGGGGCTCTATTTTAGGAACCTAAGACAGAGAAGGTGAGAGTGGATGAACTTCTTTCCATTAGCATTAGGGAGTCTCAAAGCTATGTCATGAGTAGTATGGTTTTATGGGAAGCTGGGAGCCAGAACACTGGAGAAAGACATGATAGAAGGTTTCTCAAAGGTTTCTGATGGTGATGCATGTACCTGCTAAGTTGCTCAGTCATGTCCATCGCTTTGCACCCCTAGGGGCTATATAGCCTGCCAGGCTTCTCTGTCCATGAAGATTGTCCAGGCAATAATACCAGAATGGGTTGTCATGCCCTCCTCCAGGGTATCTTCCCAACCCAGGGACCGAACCTGCATCTCTTACGTCACCTGCATTGGCAGACGGGTTCTTTACCACGAGCGCCACCTAGGAAGCCCTCGGATGGTGATAGGAGTGAAGATTTGGGAGGTTGTTTCAATAGAATCTGGCAGCTTCTTAGATGAGGAGAGTGAGAGAGATTGAAATGTGATCCAAAACATTTTGAACTGGTTGACCGGAAGGAGAGTTGGGCTGCTTAAAGGATGGTCTACCCAGAGAAGTAACTTTTGTAAAGAAAATTATGTATATAGGTCTCTAGGCAGCTTTTGGATGCTAGCAGAACACAGTGAACTGAACTGAACTGAGAACAGAACGTATGAAATCACAGGAGTGGAACTTAGGAGAGATTTACGGGCTGGATCATTGTGGTTATCTAAAATCCTATGATTTGATGACTGTTTCAAGAGAGAGGTGATAGACGAAAGAAGATTATTGAGGCTGGACAGTCAGGGGATTCCTACACTGATCTTGTCAGGCAAAAAGTAGANCATGACTGAGCGACTGAACTGAATTGAACTGAACTGTTTAATCTCTCCGAGCCTTAGGTTCTTGACTATAAAATGGTGATAATACTTGACTCAATGGGCTATGGTGAGATGTAGTTCAATAAATTAGCATATGGACAAGAAGAAACTGGTGAAAATAGGCCTGTTAATCCAAGTCTCTTTTAAATTTTCCTCCCAGTTGCTTTTGATTCACTTCCAGATGGTCATGTGTTATGGGGTGCCATCACCTGCATTCATGGGTAGTTAGGTTCTATAAGGCTTAATAATGAATTGCAAGCAATTAACTATTGGCCACCAATCCCTCCCTGGGCAGACCTGAGCATAAAAGGAGGCAGATGGAATACGTTTACTCTTGAAGGTCCTGCCAGAGCAAATGGTCAAGACAGAAGGATCTCAAGAGATCAGAGGGCCTGACCAGTCTGGATGATGATTTGATATGTCCTTGGAAGTAGGGCAGGGACCACCATGATTTTTCACCTGATGTTCTTTTTTTTTTGCATTTTCACCTTTGATTTTGCATTCCCTGGTGCTAGCAAAATGCTCTGTATATAATCATTAGGAAGAATTTGCCAAACAAACAGCTGTTTTGTTTGTTTCTTTGGAGAGATCTGGCATTAAGATAATGCACAAAGAGGTAAAAAGAATAGAGCATTGATTGGAAAAAAGAGAAACGAACATGGAAGATGATGTAATCACCTGGGGTGTTGGTGACCAGCAACTGGACCGATGTCTATGCCAGTGTGTAACTGTCACAGATATCATGTTGCATCTACACCAACGATAAACATCCCCAAACCAGGAAGCAGTGACAGAAACAAAAGGGGGAAAAAAAAAATATGAGTCTAAGCATGGTGCTGTTTATAACCCCATTCAACCATAGGGAGACACCATTACTTACACTCACATCTGTTGTTATTAGCAAACAGAGGAGCACAGGGGAGAGAGGCGTATAATACTGGATGCAATTTGTATGGAAGTAAACCCTTGGTTTTTATTTGGAAATAAGAGAGGGATCCATAAATGGGCAGGCAGTGGTGCCTTGACCAGCCTTGTAAATCGATCTGGGTGTCGGTGTTCACAGTGAGGAAAAACAGGAGGACTCCATCCTGGTAACGATGCAAACGGGCACGTATTGTGTATCCAGAAAGGATGGTCACCTTCCATTTTAATTTGTTCCAAGCTTTCTTTCTCTCTGGAGTCCATCTCTGATGCGACATTCAAGAGGATCGTGTTCAGCTAGAACTCGGTTGTGAAGTTCTTTTAAACGCTCACAAGCCAGATCGGCTATGGTTAAGGAGAGCGTGTTTGCTCCACAGGAAAGGAGATTTCCCTGGTTTACATATGTCTTCTTTAAAGAGTGTGACTCACTGCCTGTGTACCCGTCTCCTCCTCTCGCCCCACCCCGTGACTGCCTCGCAGGCCATGGGACATGCTCCTGCGGTCGCTGTGTTTGTGAGAAAGGATGGTTCGGGACGCTCTGCCAGCATCCGCGGAAGTGTAACCTGACGGAGGAACAGAGCAATAGTCTGTGTGAATCGGCAGATGGCATACTGTGCTCGGGGAAGGGTGAGTATCCGCCGGAGCTTGGACGGGTTCCCTGTTCTTACGTGTGGTTTGTATTGAGCGGCAGCACGGTCCCTACAACCGGCTTCTCCGGGCTGTATGGAAACCACGCTGTCCTCTGCTCCGACCAGACTTTGGGCTTGAATTTCTCCCACTCACACGATCACGGAAAGTATTATCAGAAGGAAAGCCTCAAATTTACTTGTATGCTGCTTTCTTTAGTCATAAATGAATTAGCGATAGAAACATGTGCGTGCGAAGTGGCTTCAGTCGTGTCCGACTCTTCGCGAACCTATGGACTGTAGCCCGCCAGGCTCCTCTGTCCAGGCGATTGGCCGGGCAAAAACACTGGAGTGGGTTGCCATTCCCTTCTCCAGGGCATCTTCCCGACCCAGGGATCGCACCCACATCTCCTGTATCTCCTGCATTGGCAGATGGGTTCTTTACCACTAGTGCCAACTAGACATGTGTAACCTAATATAAAAGAAAAGAAAATGAAGACTTCAAAGTGGTTACAGCCTTCAAGTTGATGGAATAGGAACAAATAACCCAATCAAACATTTACCACAAATAAATTCAAGGAGAAAAGCAACCCCCCCCAGTGCCCCGCCCCCACCCCCAAAGGGCACTTTTTTTTTTCTGAGAAAGTACTAATTAATAGACTGAGTTTTAGATATTTTTTTGCAAAGTGAATTTTTTAATTGATTGTTTTTTATTTTTATTGTTTTTGGCCACACATGGCATGTGGGATCTTAGTTTCCCCACTAGGAATTGAACCCACACATTTGAAAGCTTGGAGCCCTAAGCACTGGACTGCCAGGGAAGTCCTGAATTGTAGGTAGCTTGATGTTGATGTTTTTGTATAAATTTTCCAAGAGGCTTTAAAAGCCTTCTGTCTCAGGCCATCTTCCTCTTTGCTAGTGGCTAGGAAGGGCTTCCTTGGTGGCTCAGATGGTAATGAATCTGCCTGCAAAGCACAAGACCTGGGTTTGATCCCTGGGTTGGGAAGATCCCCTGGAGGAGGGCATGGCAACCCACTCCAGTATTCTTGCCTGAAGAATCCCATGGACAGAGGAGCCTGGCGGGCTGCCATGCATGAAGTCACTGAGACAGACACGACCGAGCGACTAAGCATTGAGTGGCTGGAAAACACCTAGAAACGTTCTCGAAGTCTGTGTGTTCTCACTGAATGTTCAGGAGCTGCCCTACACCAAACTAGATGCTCTGGGGCTTCCCAGCTCACTAGGCTCCTTTCAGAACAGATGATCCCCACTTCCCAAGTGGAGCTGAAGCCGAAGCTACATTTACCCTCAGACACCTACCCTGGGGGCAGGATTAGCAGGTAAATACCTTTCTGAAGAAGACACAGTGAAGAAAGAGAGTTGCCTAATAGCCAGGGAGGAGTCCTCAGAAGTAGAATAAATATTCTGATTAAAGTCATTACATTCTGAAGAGAGAGACTCATTTTTTTAGCATCATAAATGTAGAAAACATATATTAAAAAATATATATGGACTAAACATCGGCCCAAAGGCATTTCCTCAAAGTGAAACAGGAGGAGAAAAATCTCTCTAGGTAATGCCTTTTCAAATTGTTTGCTTTGGGTGTGGAAATCTATCCAGGTATCAATGAATAGTTGAAACAATATTTGTCTAAACTATTTGTTTACCCTTCAAAGGGTAGAGAGTTTTAAACTTGAAGGAATGTAAGAGTGTGATCAGTATCAGGACCTCTTATAGCCTCAAGGTTGTTTGTTTTGAGGTTGGTGTTAGTGATGAGGCTGGCATGCCTAGTTGGCAGTGGCTGGCTGTGAACTTTGTTTCTTCCTGTTTTGGAAGAATCCACGCTGAATAGTAAAGCAAAGAAGGGGTTACACGTGAGATCATGGAATTGTATTCTTTCAGTGAACAGTGGGGATGCAGAACTTATCCTTGTCAGCATGGAGGGACCCGCACCCCAGGAACCACAAGAAAAGGATCATGAAACAGACCTAAGGTCTTCAACATGGTGGCTGAGAAGAGACACCCCCTTCTGAGTTATTTAAATGGGGGCCATCTATTTCTGGATACATCTCATGGACTTGCCGTATTGCCATGTACCTTACTCTTGAATTTGTACATGAAAACCACTCACCCTGGCTTTCACAGAGGAAATCAGTCTTTTTCTTTCTCCCGCGATGGGGCAGGTGTGAGCAGAGGGTCCTGAGATCCCCAGGGCACAGGAGTTTAGCAGCCCAGACCCAGCTGAGTGTTTCCAGCAGAAAAACGAACCTGCAACGTGGGCTCCCCGGAAGTTGTGAATAAAGCCACCACCTCAGGAGACGATGAAGAAATAGCGTTTTATTTCTTTACAAATTGATAGCCAAGACAATAAATCACTCCATAGAAAAATTTAAAACAAGATACATTGTTGTGACCTTCATAACAGATGGAGGAGTTAGAACAGTAGTGAAGTCTGCCTGCTGGGATGTCGGGTTGCAGCATTTTGTCAGGCTTGATGGATGAAAAAGAAAGTCCGACTCTGTCAATGGGGCAGCGAACAGAGGTGCCTCGCCCTGACACACGATGGGTTTTTGTAAATAACCGGAGATGAATGCAGGGCTAGGTCTCCCCTAAGCTTAGCTACCTTTGACGGATGCATGATACAATTCATAGGATGTTTGGGGATTTATTCCTCTGGATCCAAGAACACACAGTAACCTTCTTGGCCTTGTAACTTCCACCTCAATATAGGTCATGCTCTCTAATATCCTTAAAGATGCCATTGTGTGACAGTTGTTAACTGTGTGTTATTCAATGACCCTTTACACTCTTACGTTGATACTTGTTATCCAGATTAAGTCCATGGTACCCCCACCACCCATCCCTCACCCCCAGCCCGACCCAGCCTGTTCTTCACGCCTGGAAAAGAGAAAGGGTGAAAAGTCATGTTTCAAAAGCCGCCCTTTTGGCTCTGTATTCTGGTTGCCTTGCTCAGTGACTGTCCGGGCAGAATCTATAGGATGCACAAATCATTTTTGAAACTACATGGAAGTCCCCCTCCCCCCACCTCTGGGAGAAGCAGCAGAGATAGATGCAAGAGTAGACTGAATCAGATTGGAATCTTAGGTTAACTGATGTACTTCCATTTTCTCATCTTCGAAGGCAGAAGAATTTCATTTCTTTCCCCTTTTTACGTCCTAAGGATGCTCTGAAGACGAATGAGAAAATGTGGTTAATTGCTCAGGAATGGAAGCCAGTAAGCAGCACAGAAGGAAGATCAGAGCGCTCTTTAGTCCTTATACCAAGACAGACGATAAAGGAGTTAGGTGATGTGGTCATGAACTTACTACCCTAGAGACCCTGCCAAGACGGGGGTGGCCAGCTGCTCCCTTGGGCTGGACTGGGTCTCATGGGTGTGAGTGGAGCCCCGCCAGTGGAGCGGAACAGTTGGTCCCCTCTTGGCAATCCTGTGGCCTGTGTCTGTGTCTGTCTGAGAACCCTTCACCGAAGTGTTTCCCTTTCTAGGCGTGTGCAGTTTGAGCCCTGGCTCCTGATGAAACAAGTCAGAGCACCCTACAACAAAGGCACGGCTCTAGAGGTCCTGATGCCGCTCACACTGTGTCAGTATTACACGCTGTGCTAGTCCTAATTTTACAAGCAGAAAAAGTTCCTACCTCTGAGAGGCACAAATAGAAAGAACAACAAGCTGGGGAAAACGCTGACTGAGAAAAGCTGCTTTTTCATCACACAGACAAAAATCAATCCCCATTTTTCACTTGAAGTAGTTCAGTGTCTAGTAGACTTTTGAAACTGGAGTTTACTTGTCAAATGGTCCATCCAAGATACCATATTAACTTTAGCTGAGCTTAACCAGTTTTAGGAAAATACTTTGTTTTAGCCTGAAGCTGAACATCCCAGAAGCAAGAGCAGTAATTAAAATAGTTTCAGGGCTAGGAGGTGAGTTTAAAAATGAAATGTGAGATCTTTTCATGAGTTGTGACAAAAAAGATATCCTAGGCATAATTGTGAATATCATGAACATAGAAAGTCATTTACTTCTGCTGCTTTGTAGAAATAATTTTGGAAAGTAAAGGGGATAACTATTTTAGAAACAACTGAAAACAACCAGATTCTTCCAATAGTCATGGAATTAAAGAATGAAATATGGTATTTTCTGAAGCAGTTACCGTGAAAAGTCAATGAAATGCCCCAAGTCGTCTTCGTTTGCACTCAGATCGCTAACCATTTACTAAACCAGCTTATGGTAAACACTTCCATGCCTAGAAATTTGAAAGAAAGTGTTTAAAAGTACAGCAAATACATTTCTAAAATAAGGTAACACCGTACCTGAATGAGACCAAGAAGAAGCCAGCATCCTTCACAGACTTGAGCCAGGAGCTCATTGTTTCCTAAGCAACCACCAGGCTGTCAGTCACTCATCAGAACTGAAGGTTGTCTAGAATTTGCTCAAGGAAATGCACATCAACAAGACCCTCAGGAAAGTAAGACAAGACTATATGAAATTATGCTATGGTTAAGCAAGGACTTAACTAATGTAAACTCAGCTCTCAACCCGTAACTAGTTCTGACTACTCCCTTACCCTCTTCTTTAGGAGCATGACAAGGAATGTGAAAAGTTTAATTTGGCTCTTGGGGATTTTTGCAGCTAAAATACAGATAGCCATTTCCATGATATGAGATACCACATAGTGCTTAATGCGTGAGATGTGTTTATACGGATCCTTTTGGGATTCTGTGATATCAGGAAATCCTTCTCTCTCAACCACTTGACTCACTCAGTTTCTTAATTCATTTTTCAAGCACTGTGTTTCCTAGAAGCACTAATGGTTGATTGCTGCTCATCTCCCAATATATTTTGAACTTACCAAGTCTGGAATTTTGTTAAATAGGTCAAAGCGCTTTTTTCCTACTTTACCATCTCTTAAGGTGATTTTTGACCTGAACAATTTAGTGATGAGCATCTTTTAGTAAAAGGAAAAACACGTTTGGAAAAGATAATCCATCCAAGGAAATAAAAGGAAGGGTAAGTCCTTCTTAAGTGTTTTCTTTACATTTTAAAGTTGTCTTTACTGTTGTTGTAGCTGAAATTTTGCCACATGAGGGTCTCATAGTCCATCAGGTGAAAACACTTAGACTGAGAGAACTTACTTTTGTGACACCATTTAACTCATACATTTTCTTTTCTTTTAAATATATTTAAGTAACTAATAAAATTGTTTCTGGGCAAACCAAAATGTTCTTAATAACCAAAGTGGAAGTTTTAAATTAATAACATTAATTAAATAATTAAAAAGGGGAGAAATGAGTAAGTAATGCAAAAGGTAATTTGACCAAGACCCCCATAAAAGATGAACATTTTGAGTGAATTAGAGCCTTTCTTGATTACGGCAACAAATTCTAAGAATGAGATCTTCTAAGTCAAATATACATGAGTTACTATCTGTGTATTCTTGGCACTTTAAAGAGCTACCCAATATGCAGGTGTGTCCCTATTTAAAGAAAATCACGAAAACGAAAATCCAGAATTGTAAGCATGGTAATTTCGTAATTCTTTTCATTATAGAATGCATCCCCACCTAATAGAACTTGCTATTCAATTCCTTAAAAAAAAAACAAAAAACCAAGCACCTTTAAGGCGCGATTGACTTCAGAAAGAAAAAAGAAAAAAGGGACATCTATTTTTGAACACCTTTTCTGAAGGCCATCCATACGAATCAGCCACATTCTGCCCTCATTGACATTTCAACCAGGCGGGGCCACGGAACATTTGCTCAAGGCTAATTGCAACTGTCTAGATCCATAACGAAGCCTTTCCTGGATAACCTTTATGAATTACAGTAAGTCAGGCTCCCCTCTGAGTGACTGGCTAGTCGGTAAACTTTTCCCTTTGTTAGGCTATTAGACGTCCACGGTCATTGCATTGATAATATTCCGTTTTCTGCAGAAACCTTTAGTTAAGTGATGACGGCAAGTAGCTCCCTTTGTGATTTCAGGCTCCTGCCACTGCGGAAAGTGTCTTTGTTCTGCTGAAGAATGGTACATTTCGGGAGAATTCTGCGACTGTGATGACAGGGACTGCGACAAACACGATGGGCTCATTTGCACAGGTGCCGTATCGACCGACCCTAATCATTCTTTGTCAGAGTCAGCAGCGGAGACCACCCTGCCGCAGACGGCAGGGCAGGACCGCAGTCCTTGCAATCAAGACCTGCTGTTCATCCAAGTCACTACAGAAGGGGAGGGGCATTGATTCCCAAATCCAGAAGCATACAAAAGAATAAAGCCAAATTATATGGCTATTGGGAAACTTCACAAAGTAACCCCTCTCCCCTCTTTACACAGATGCTGTTCTGTGTGGAAAAGAGAAAACAATGGTCTTGACAACCATTTTACTTTGAACCAGATGTAGGCAATGGAATATTACTTTAAACAGGACCCAGGTGCCGCTTCCAAAGACCATTGGTTGATGTGTTGGTTGTTTGCAAGGAATGGGGTGTGTGTTGAGGGGATGGGAGCGATGAAAAAACTTAGCAGTGTAATAGCTAGTGCTTTCTCGAGTTATTGAATCCTGGTAATCAGTTATGTCAATAAAATACATTCCCTTGAATAAGTTACAGGGAAAAGAGACACATATATCTGCTCTCCTTATCTCCAGTGGCAGGTAAAAGATGAAAGCTTCTGTGTGTCATCAAGCTAGGCCTTCACTTTCAGTCCATCCCTATGAAACAAGGCTCCTCTTCTAGCTGATTCCCCAGCTTACCTCATTCTATGTCAAGGGACTTGGTAGTTTTCAACATTTATTCATAAGTCAGACATAACTTGCTGTCTACAGGAAAACAAAATCATGACTTGGAAGTCACCGGGAATGATACAGGATAGTCACTCGTAGATGCTACACTCAGGGTGGCATCAAGCAGCTGCCATTAACTGTATGAAAAATTAGATTCCCCATAGCTGCTAAATGGGATAAGATGGTTACAGAATAGAACAAGAAACTCTGCGGAGGATGAATGACATGGTCTTGCTGATGAACAGCTACGGTTTGGAATGACGTCTTTTAACGTGGTGCCTTCCCATCATGATGATGACAGCCCTGTGTGCTTTGCTGCAGGGAATGGAATCTGTAGCTGTGGAAACTGTGAATGCTGGGACGGATGGAACGGGAACGCCTGTGAAATCTGGCTCGGCACGGAATACCCTTAACGATTATGTGGCAGGGAACCGGGTTCTTCTTTTTTCTCGGCCCTCAGAACGGATAAATGCAGAGGAAACCATGTATAATCACCACTACGACAGGTCAAACAGACTATTGTATGTTTTTCTCTTTCTGAATGCCTGAATGAAATCTGGGTACCCATTAAAAATGAGCTAAGCAAGTTCTGATGTAAATAGCATCAGAAAAAACTTTTCCTACCTTCATTTACATCAGTGGTTCTCAACAAGGGCAAACTTTACCACCCAGAAAACACTTGACAATAATGTTTACAGGTAATTTTGATGGTCACCCTGTGTGGCGTGGAGGGCATGTTGGGGGTGGACATCCAATGGGTGGGCGCCAGGGATGCTGTGAACGTCCTCTGGGGCACAGGACAGCCCCCCACAACAAAGAATGACCTGACTTCACGTGTCAAGGGTGCCTGAGCTGAGAAACATTGAATTAGATGGTTGTTAGAAATGCATAACCCTGTACAAGAAAGACCATATTCGTGTCTAAGGAAAAAATACAGTCTTACATAAATCCATTGATCATATTTTGCCAGGATTCCATATCACTTATCATTTCCATGGAGACATAAGGTATCCAGACACACATAGGATATGGGGCAGAAACTACATCATCAGTGCTTTTGGGAAAAAAAAAAAAAACCTGGTCATTTTAGCCATTAAGTCATTTGTCTTATCCCCCTTTAGACTCACACAAAAAAACTCTCTTAAGATGAAGGAAGATATTATGAAAAATGTACAATTCAACATTTTAAATAAATAGTGACATAACTTGCTTATATTCTGTGTCAGTATATATTTACCTACTGAGGATTAACACCCACCCCCCCAATGAATTTTTATTCAGGGATATCTATCTTCTATTTCTAGAACATTTTTTAATATTAAGCAGGGGTTACATGTATAAGAATTCTGATTTTTTACTGTTTACTCCATGGTAACTTGCCTTTTAAAAAGACAGCATATAGTTAGATGTATGATGGGCCTGAAATATACATTCACCTCCCTTAAAAACTCTTATTTGTAAGGATACATTACTTATTAGAAAAGTAGGCTCATGCAAAGAAATCAAGAAATTATATTAAGATAAAAAGTCTCAAAAGCTCAGAGGGTTTAAAAAAAAATCCAGAAATGCCTGAAATAGAAATTACAAGTATTCAGTCAATAATAAGAACAAAATGTTTATTTTCTTAATGGTGAAATTCTGCTCTGTATGAAATTCACATTGAATTATGAAAATGTACAATAATTCAGACTTCCCTTACATATTTACAGTTAAATCTACTTATACACATTAGTTAGGCAACCTTTAATTATTTAGAGCTAATAAAAACCCCACTTTTTTTTTTTCTAAAGGCGATTTCTATCTTGTAAAATCCTAGAATAATGTAACAAAATCATTTCCATATTAAGATGAAAAGTTTTCCTTGGAAATTTTACTTGATGATGTAAATATTCTAGAATTGTGGCTTGGACTTTTCTAAGTCACATCACCAAAAATAAGGAAAATATGCATCTGCTGAGTTACTGAAAAATTTAATATTGAAAATTATTTAAGAGAAAATTTAACTGATGCTGATTTTGATAGTACTAATATTGTCCTCGTACTTTAGGAGATTTATAAAATTGTCACTTCTATCCTGAGATTAAGGAGTGCAACCATGGGATTGTATCTTTAGTCTCATGTATATCAATCAATAGATCAGTTTTTGTAAATGAGGGAAATATAAGCTGTGACGAAACAACACAGATTATACTCTTTCCTCTGTCTAAACACGTCAACACTCAAACAAAGCTGTTATTGTTCAGTTGCAATTCTGATGCCTTATGTGATGCTGCACAGACACTAAACTTCGTTACCTTATCCAGCCATCATAATTTGTACAAAAGACCTTCAGGTTCCTTTCTTGCAGAACTTTGGTTTCTATAAAGGACCAGATGGTAAATAGTTTAGACTTTGTGGGTCACATACATCTCTGTTACAAATTCTTGTTTGTTTTCATTTAATATTTTAAAGCTGAGAAAACAAAACGAATTCATTCTGAGCTCCTGGACTGTAAGAAACATTGGGAGATGAATTTGGCAGGAGTTTGCCAGCCTCTGCTCTACTGAAACTGCTCTTAGCTTCCTCTCTTATCACATAACCCTCTGTGTGTCTTCTTTTTCTTATCATTCTCTACATGTTAACCCTTTTCATTACAGAATCTACAACAAAAGTGCTGTTCTTTTTCTATTTTCATTTAACAAAAATGTCCTTGGCATTCGTGTTTTTTTAAGAAAAAAAAGTATGGAGAAATTAGTGTATTATAAAGTTCAAAATGTGATTGGTCCAAATTTTTTGACAAAGTTGAAAATATATTTCAGCTCTATTCTGGGGTTCATTTAGCTCGAAATTATTGAACCAAAAGGAAACTACAGCATTAAGTCACATGGTACCTACACGCTAGTATTTTTCTTCTAAAACAAAAATATTTTCATTTTACCACTTTCTGTCTGCTGCAACAGTTCTTGTATGTGTGTATATATGATTTTGGGTCTCTAGCAATGCAGACATCAATATAGATCTATGAAGAAGTGATTTAACTTACATGTTTAAGTTGGAGAAAAATAGACATAGTTATGTACAAAGACATAAATTTATACCCTTCTTAGATGTGATTTTGTACTTTGACTTTTGATTCCATTGCTTAGATAGAAACTCCCTCTTCAAAAAAAAAAAAAAGTCAGGACAAGAATAAACTTATAATAGTTGGAGGGAAATTTCATTGGCTTATTCAAGTTGGTCGGTAGTTATGGTGGAAATACGTCTATTGGGAACGATAGATGTTTGCCAATGGTGTTAGCACCAACCCAGTTTGCTTGGCAAACCATCACTGAGTAATTCTTTCATAAAGGACTTTTGAATAAGAGTCTACAAACATCCTGAGACCTAAGATAATCACCCTGACAGCATTAAGTCACATGGTACCTACACGCTAATATTTTTCTTCTAAAACAAAAATATTTTCATTTTACCACTTTCTGTCTGCTGCAACAGTTCTTGTATGTGTGTATATATGATTTTGGGTCTCTAGCAATGCAGACATCAATATAGATCTATGAAGAAGTGATTTAACTTACATGTTTAAGTTGGAGAAAAATAGACATAGTTATGTACAAAGACATAAATTTATACCCTTCTTAGATGTGATTTTGTACTTTGACTTTTGATTCCATTGCTTAGATAGAAACTCCCTCTTCAAAAAAAAAAAAAAGTCAGGACAAGAATAAACTTATAATAGTTGGAGGGAAATTTCATTGGCTTATTCAAGTTGGTCGGTAGTTATGGTGGAAATACGTCTATTGGGAACGATAGATGTTTGCCAATGGTGTTAGCACCAACCCAGTTTGCTTGGCAAACCATCACTGAGTAATTCTTTCATAAAGGACTTTTGAATAAGAGTCTACAAACATCCTGAGACCTAAGAGAATCACCCTGGACTCTGAGCTAATCTGGATTCTCACCATGCATTGGAAGGAATTGCCTCCACCACTTCAAATGCAAACACAACATGGGGATTAGACCAAATGACAGAAAAAGCCAAGAGAAAACAAAAACAAGACATAATTCAACATTTGTTTGCAGACTCACCATCAAAGCTTTTGAAACCCCACTCAGTATTGAGTCAACAGGTCACTTTGTAAGCTAACAAAGCTACTCTAAAAAGTGTATTTTACTCCAGAGTAACACAGTTCACATCTGGAGTCTGAGATGCCTGGGTTTAGCTCAACAGCTGTCCCTGGATATAGTCTCCTTCTAAAATGTTCATACTCCCTCTAATATTAGGGAGAGAACTTTAAATGAAGTGGTACATGTCTAACTTTTAAGTCGAGAAGTATTTTTTTCTTGTTTTTTAAAAAAGAGCCAAATCCGATATTGGTCATCCTGAAAACAGCTGACTGTTTTAATGCTTTAAGCATTCGTTAAGCAACTGGCCAGGTGTGACAAACTCTTCTTGCACTCCAAGAGGCAAATAATTAGATAGACCATGGCGGGAGTCTTGTGGGTTCATCATGGCACTTTTGAAGCCAGTCCTGAACCCAAAACACTCAGGGCAAAGGAACGTTTGGAGCAAGAACCTCTGAATTCTCCAAGATTTGTAATGGAATGATGCTCAATTCCATTGTACTCTTTATATAGGTTGGACCATTTGCCTCTCTTCTATAATTTTTTCAGGCTAAGTTGTAGCAAAATATTTTAGCAAACATAAGAAAATAAAATGGTATTGAAATATTAAAACAATGAACATTCCAGAGCATTGTTGAGGAATGAGTGAAGCAACAGCTACCATAACAGATCAGCAGACACAACCCTCCCACAGCAGATATGGATGCAAAAGGCATGTGATACTGGAAAGACTCGATAAAATCAACATACGTACATGTAGGTACAGATCACATGGTGGTCTCCAAATACTAATGAATTCCATCAGATTTACTGTACAGAACATCAATGGCGACAGATTGCACTTAAAACAGCAAACTTAGTTTTTGAGGGGGGGAAATGGTGGAGTCTTATCCTGGAAAAATAGCTAAAGAGGTATCATCAAAGAGCGAAAATCTTCTTTGGCATGGTAAAGGGGGAGACTGAGTTTACCAAACTTATTTACATGACATTTCTCTGTATCTGTGGGTGATGCAATGCCATTTTGTTACATAAAGTTGTTGGATGTTGTTGAATATGCCTTCATATAAATATTTTATTCAATATGTTGTATTTATGAATACAACAAATGATATTAAACACAGAAACTGTACAATGCAGACAAACTCTTTGTATGTAGATTGAATAATACACACCAATGGCTCTTGAAACACAGGTCCTACGACATGCAGTTCATCAGTGCTGTCCTCGTTCCATGCAACAGGTCAGACCAGACACAGAGGAAATGATCTAACTAAATCACAAATAACAAGGACCCCTCTGCAGTACGTCTAAACATATATTAGAAGAAAGTATTCTGACATCCATTCATAGGGATAAATGCCCTTATAGATAACTCATGTAAAAAATAAAACAGAGGTACACATTTACTGAAATCTCACTCATTTACAAAAATAAATCTTGTCATAATTTTAACCAATAAACAAACTTGCAGGAGAGAAAAAGAAACCAGCAAGTAGGGCCGATTACCAAACACATATAGGTGGGGCTTTTTGATGTGTGTGTGTGTGTGTGTGTGTGTGCCTGCACACACATGCGCATGGTAGGGTAAGTCTCTCTAATTGGAATTTCAAGTTGTTATTCACAGTTTGTCACATATTATGGAGTATATGTCTTCCCTAAAAATTGATTAATGTAATTCATCTAATGTATTTTAACTTAGCCTGTTAAAAATAATAGGCTTTGGAACAGTGTAATAAGAAATCAAGAGAGGTCAAAAGAATCATTTTGTTGTATTTGTACTTTAGCATTATCGACAATAAATCTACTCAGATGTTATGCTAACTTTTTATTTATTAAAGTGGAATTCAATATGAAAATGAAATAAGCATAAACAGTTAAATTGATAGTAAATCTTTAATCAGCTAAGCAGGCCAAAATTTTTAAAGGCTGGGCAAAGGCTGTCATGGAGACTTAGGAAAGCAGTGACAAAATAATTTCCCAGTAAATACAGTGCGGATGGGAGAAAATGGCAACTGGGTCATCCTTCCACATGGAAAATAACAAGAGGCCAGTACATGGATCCCACATATAGTTGTCTATAAATGAGGTTCAGTTTGGTCTCAATTAACTGTTCAGAGGAGAAAAACATTGAAATTTATTAAGTATACACAGAGTTAACAAGTATATTTCCAAACAGTTTAGTATCAAACATTGTGAAACTCTTTAGATCCAATAGTAAACATTTTGCATGGTTTCTTCACTGTGGAGTCAACTATTCCCAGACTTTCTCGTCACTGTCCTCCCTAACCTCAGAATTCAGCAGTTGGAAATCCCAAAGGAAGTTAAGAAAGCAAACTCAAACAAAAGCAAGAAAACATATGTATATATATCGGATGGACTGAAAACCTGATATTTGAACGTGTTGGTTTGCCTTTATTTTTAATCTAGAATAATTCAACAGACTGCATTCTGAGATCATGGCAAGGCACCGCTAACTCAGCTACTGGGCCATGTGGACCCCAGAAGCTGAGTCAGAGGTATGGACCGGTGAAATACACAGTACCTGACTCAGCATGCTGAGCTAAAAAAAATAATTTTTTTTTTTTACCTAATGTGTCCGGTTTAAAAACTTGTCATTAAACACCAAAAATATTAAAGTCTAATTTATAACTAACGTTTGCATTGCTGCTGCAGGAAAGAACACAACAGCCGCCTTGCCCATGCTCTACCGAGTATGAGTGGAACGCAGCCCAAATCGGGGATGGTGTTAAGTTTGGTTCATTAAAAACAGGAAGGATTCTCATCTGAGATGGATTTAGGTAGCGCAATTCTTGTAGGTTGTTAATTAATTATTTTTTTCCTTTTTTTTTTCCCAAATAATGAGGATTCATAGATGAAAAATGAACCTTAATCAGGCCTACAAGGCCTACAGAGTTCTTTTGACCCACTTTCTCAAAAACCAGTGGGTCTTGCTCGCTGGGCAAGGCAAATGTTACCATTACCAGTAAGCTTGTGATATGTATAAAACATACACACACACACACACAAAGAAACTAAGGGGGATGTCAAACCCAGATCATAGAGCGCTTCCCATGTCTGCGTTTGACCCCGTTTCTCAGCCCGGCCACGCGGGCCTCGGGAGCACAGTGTCTGCTACTGGACGGGGCGTATATGTGTGTTTCATCAGTTGTGTGAGCCGGAGACCACAGTCCTACTCTTTACAGATGCAATTTGTCATAATAGGTTTAGAAGGCTTTCTGTTTCCCTGATCGCTCTCCCAACTAAGCCAACCGCAACAGTTAAGATTGAGAGGAACACCATCCCTACAAAAGGTCACAGACAGTAGAGCCAGCAGCCCTGGGGAAAATAAAGGGGAAGAAGAGAACTCCAGAATAGCACAGGTTTACAGCATCTAACTAGAAATTTACTCAAGAGTATCTGTGTGCTACAAAAATCGAACTGAAACACATGGATTTCGCCGAAACGGGACTCAAAAAGGAATATGGGTAGCTGTCAGCAGGCAAGGTGTCGAGTGGACTCGTGAAGGAGGTCATTCACATGAAGTGTCACAGTCACAGAAAAGATATTAAAAAGGCATTCCATATCTGGTAGGGCATTCCATGGTCTGAGTTGAGCTGGTTGTCCAGGTGTCTTCTTCTTGTGGGGGGGCGCAACGCGTTGAGATTTATCCCACTTGCAACCAAGGAGTTCAGGCCAGCGGGGAGCAGCCTACCCCCGGCGGCTCCTGGGCCCCCGGAGGGAGCGGGAGGGTCTGGCCGGGATAAAGGGCTCAACAGCGCTCGGGGGGCGACTCAGTCACAACACCTGTGAGGGTCTGGCTATGTCGTCTTACTTTTGTTGACTGGTTTGCCTCCATTCATGATGGCCGACGCGCTCGTGCTTTTACTCGGCGTCACCCCGGCCTTCGGGACCGTTTCTCCGACGTCATGCAAAGATGGTTCTCGGTACATGGCAACTAGTGACAGGAAGGGGGAGGAGGGCAGAAGAGGAGATGTTACCCGGTTAGGTTCACGCGCAGACCTCCGCTGGAGGCCCAGTCCTCTTTTTTCCCCGAAGTCAAGTAACCCCGTCAAGAGGGAATTCCTGTTTTAAAGAAGTAAAATCCAGCCCCTGAACAGAAAGTATGACTTCCTCTGCATTTTCTGGTTTTGTGTCTCCAAACAGTTCACATGGGTGTGCCTGGATTTTTGTTGAGGAGAGAAGGTTTAAATGGGGGATGCACACACACACACACACACACACCCAGGCCACAAGAAGTATGTGAGAATGGCAGGCATTTAATCCAGTTCTCTTTGTTCAGGGAGAAAAATTCAGACCTTCCTTCCACTACATGCTGTCAACACATGGACACTCATTCCCACTCATCTTCTCCAGTCTAGGTCTTTTTAGGTCATTAAATTCAAACTCTCAAGTGATTAAAAAGCCACATGGTCACACTATGTCAGCTTCAAAGNGGCGTGCTGCGATTCATGGGGTCGCAAAGAGTCGGGCACGACTGAGTGACTGAACTGAACTGAACTGAACTGAAGGCAGAAGTGCATAATGGCAAGAGGATCACTGGGACCGACATCCCAGGAGGCTCCAAGGAATTGAGTAGTATCTGGTGACATCACTGATTCCAGTAGTTCATGTGGTTTTGTTAGAAAGGGATCCCAGGGAATCCTGGAAAGGAAATTCCAGACTGACTGGTGCTTGGGGGAAATGAGCTGACTTAAAATCTTCTGCCATCAGAAACACAAGTGAATTAGAGCTGCCCAACCTGCTTTTAGGGTTTTGAAAGCTGATATTTTATGAAGATACCTTATGTTTCATTAGGATGAACCACCACATGCATATATACACGCATACATGTATATACAATAAAGTATACAAATCTTAAATGCACAATGTAAGTAGACACCTATGGGACCACCACCCAGAGCAAGATAAGAGACATTTCCAGGCTCCCATGAGGGTCCCTTGTGGCCATGGCAGAGTCATGGATGTGGAAGATAAACATGTACTACATCATGATCAGGATAAGGCACACATGACACTCACCTTCCAATGGCTTGGGTAGAAAATGAGCTGCTGGTTTGGTTTTCTTTACTCTGTTTCCTTTCATAACTTGCCCTTCTTTATTCAATCCCAAAAACCAGGCTCTGCCAGATTCCTGTTGTCTGTACAGCATAGATGAGTAGATTACGTAATAGTTTTCAAAAACAGATTCTTTAAACTTGCACTCAGGGGTAAAAAGTTCCTGTTGAGAGAAAAGGAAGAAATGAAGGTTAGAGGAAGGGGTGGGAGCTTCCCCGTGTTTCCTCTTCCTTCTTGCAGAAACTCATCTAGGATAGCCGACCAGGCAGCACTCGAGCATGGATGACCAGATGTTCCTCTTCCTATAGGTGTCAACTTTTATCAACACACAATGTGTCGAGAAGGAGCTGCTGCTTTGGGGAAAAAATATATATATGTACATATGTATGGGGCTTCCCAAGTGGCACTAGTGGTAGAAAACCTGCTTGCCAATGCCAGTGCAGGAGAAGTAAGAAATGTAGGTTCGATCCCTGGATTGGGAAGATCCCATGGAGAAGGAAATGGCAACCCACTCCAGTATTCTTTCCTGGAGAATCCCATGGACAGAGGAGCCTGGTTAGCTACAGTCCATAGGTCACAAAGAATTGGACAGGACTGAACTGACTTAGCACACACTCATGTATATATGTATGTATGTATATAGGCAAAACTATGGATGTCCTCTAATTAGAAAATAGAAGACAGGAGCAATAGTATTCGGTTGAATAAGATCCGGTTCAAGCAGGGTATAACCAGAAACAGCATGATAAAGTACCAGCCACCCTGTGCTGAGCTGCTTCAATTGTGTCCAACTCTGTGGGACCCCATGGACAGTAGCCCGCCAGGCTCCTCCACCCATGGGATCCTCCAGGCGAGAATACGGGAGTGGGTTGCCACGCCCTCCTCCAGGCGGTCTTCCGGACCCAGGGGTCAAACCCATATCTCCTTTGTCTCCTGCATTTTCAGGTGGGTTCTTCACCACTGGGGCCACCTGGGAAGTCCAGCACCCTGTATTCACAGTTTAAAAATAATAACAATATTGGGTTGGTCAAGAGGTTACTTTAGGTTTTTCTGTAACATCTTGTGGAAAAACCCAAATGAACTTTTCGGCCAAACCTCTAAAAGATATATTGAAGGTATTTGCTAACCTATTTTCAATATTTCGGTAGGAATTATTATTACATGATAATCTAACGGTTCCCAGTTGTTCACTGGATCACTGATATTATAGGATGACATGTTTTACCTACAAAGAGACAGACTGACACCTCAAACTAAACCCCTGGCCATCAGTTGGCACAGAAGCTAGCCCCTGAAGCTGAGGCCAGGGGTCATGTTAGCTGGTTGTGGAGACGGGAGCTGAAAACCACGACCTAACCCATGGTCTGGAGTCCTCCTGGAACTCTTCAAGAGAACCATCGATAGCTGTCATGACTAAATTCCACTCCACATATTTTGAAACAGCACAATGAGCTAACATGACCACCATGATCTACATCAACTGATGAATAACACACAGTTGCTACTTTAGACTATCATTAATAATACAAATATTCATAGATGAGTTTTATATACTTCTATAAGTTAACCTACAAAAGCATTTCTGATAGATTTCTTTGAAAAATAATTTAAAAATGCCACCTTCCTAGGTGCATATCATGGAAGTCACTTAACTAGCTTTTGTGGCTGTTTTATGTAGGCTCAACACTGTGCTATTCCATGTTTATGAAATACTGATGCAAAGCAGACATTTATTGTCATTATCTTTTTGAAAATATCACATACTTAAATTTTTTTCGCCTTAATAGATTTTTATGACTGCTGAAAAATGGTAACTTTGTTTTCTTTTAAAGAAGTTATTTTCTATACACACTCTGAAAAACACATCATTTAGGGTCTAAAAATATAAAACCTTTAAGAGTTAAAATTATGCTAACCATAATAAGGGGCATGACATTGTTGCCTGTAGAAATGTTCTTTAAGTATTTCCCATGAGAGTGTTAATTATCAAGTGGTGTCTCTTGCAGGATATAATTTATTCAGAGTGCGCCATAACTTTAATTCAATGAAAGTTAAATTGTTTTCCAAGGGGAACAGGTTTTAATGGCAGATGCTTTTCATGACAAAGATGACAGTTGCAGTGATTAATCTGATGAGATTAAAATAGCAGAAAGATAGGTTTAGCCCCTCCCAAAGGAATTTATGTAGCCCTCATTTGAATAAGGTACCATCTGAAAAAATATTCTGTTCTTCCACTAAGTTTTATTTCTCCAAATATCCTATTAGCTCTCTCACTAATAAGTGATAGCCTTGGTAAGTCAATCTCCAGGCCCTGAACAGAATAAAGACTGATAAAAGGGTCCAAGTTCACACATTGGTGGTGAGGTAAGGAAAATAAAATGGAATGCTCTAAATCTGGCTTATCATCAAAAGATTAATAAATATAATATTGGTTGAACATGGATCTTCTGGGACAAACAGATTAGAATTTGGCATGTTCTTTGTCATTTTATTGAGACAGGCCAAGACATCCAAAGGGCTTCCCTGGTGACTCAGAGGGTAAAGAATCTACCTGCAGTGCAGAAGACCCAGGTTCGATTCCTGGGTCAGGAAGATTGCCTGGGGAAGGGACCAGCAACCCACTCCAGTATTCTTGCCTGGAGAATTCCATGGACAGAGAAGTCAGGTGGGCTGCAGTTCATGGAGTTGCAAAGAGCTGGACATGACTGAGCGACTAACTCTTTCACTTCACTTTCAAGGCATCCAAGCATAAAAATAAAACCTAAAGCAAGTTTTATTGTTAAAAATCTGTCTTAGAATCAACCCGGAGTGGGTTTGGCAAAGGCTGACCCAGTTGATCATTCAGGTGGGGAGAGCAGCTGGCACCTGCTGGCTAAGATATTGGGTCTCTACCCATAGCCTTCCCTTATTAAGAGGATCACAGAAGACTGATCTGAATCTCCAGGAAGACTGACCTCCAGCTTTGGAAACACAGGTCCACAGAGTAGTCAACCCTTCCTTACATGGATCCGATCCCTAGTGCTGTGATGTGTGAAATATGGAGGATGCTGCTTGCCTTGCATCGGCAATTGGAAATGTATTGTTTCTACTTTAAATTGACGAAGTTGAATGTGAAAGATAATGAAGACCTTTGACTCAGAAGAAGTCTTTTATTCTCAGAGTGTACCTCAGTATGGTGGTGCTAGTGGTAAAAAACCCACCTGTCAATGCAGGAGACACAGGAGACATGGGTTCAACCCCTAGGTTGGGAATATCCCCTGGAGGAGGACACCGCAACCTACTCTAGTACTCTTGCCTGGAGAATCCCATGGACAGAGGAGCCTGGTGGGCTACAGTCCATGGGGTCACACAGAGTCGGACACGATTAAAGTGACTTAGCACGCACCTTAGTATACCTCTGACACTAAGTCTTTTTAGATAAAAGGTTTGCATCTTAGGACTCCGAGGAAGTCAATAACATATCCTTTCTGCAAGCTGTGGCAGTGACTTCACAGGGAGGTGATTCAGTCTTCCACATTAGAGCCAAAGCTTTCAGGCAGTTGTGCTGGTGGAGACTGGTCAGTACTTTTTCACCCTTCTTTATTCTTGGTTAAATAATTACTGCATATACACATACTCATATGCACACACACACACTACATTTAAGGCTACTATTGTCTAATGCTCTTTGCTAGACTTTTTGAGGATTTAATCTGCTCGTGAAATATTGGAGTTGAAAACAACCCCCTCATTCTCAGGAGAATTGGTAGCATTAATGGAAACTGAGATTGGTAACTACTTATAAGGGACAAATATACTTTTAATTTGCAAATGGGAGACAGAGTGATGGTGAACAACATCTGCGGATCCAGACTGCCTGGGGTCAATCCTGACCTTTGGCTAAGATATTGGGTCTCTACCCATAGCCTTCCCTTATTAAGAGGATCACAGAAGACTGATCTTAATCTCCAGGAAGACTGACCTCCAGCTTGGGAAACACAGGTCCACAGAGTAGTCAACCCTTCCTTACATGGATCCAATCCCTAGTGCTGTGATGTGTGAAATATGGAGGATGCTGCTTGCCTTGCATCGGCAATTGGAAATGTATTGTTTCTACTTTAAATTGACGAAGTTGAATGTGAAAGATAATGAAGACCTTTGACTCAGAAGAAGTCTTTTATTCTCAGAGTGTACCTCAGTATGGTGGTGCTAGTGGTAAAAAACCCACCTGTCAATGCAGGATACACAGGAGACATGGATTCAACCCCTAGGTTGGGAATATCCCCTGGAGGAGGACACCGCAACCTACTCTAGTACTCTTGCCTGGAGAATCCCATGGACAGAGGAGCCTGGTGGGCTACAGTCCATGGGGTCACACAGAGTTGGACACAATTAAAGTGACTTAGCACGCACCTTAGTATACCTCTGACACTAAGTCTTTTTAGATAAAAGGTTTGCATCTTAGGACTCCGAGGAAGTCAATAACATATCCTTTCTGCAAGCTGTGGCAGTGACTTCACAGGGAAGTGATTCAGTCTTCCACATTAGAGCCAAAGCTTTCAGGCAGTTGTCCTGGTGGAGACTGGTCAGTACTTTTTCACCCTTCTTTATTCTTGGTTAAATAATTACTGCATATACACATACTCATATGCACACACACACACTATATTTAAGGCTACTATTGTCTAATGCTCTTTGCTAGACTTTTTGAGGATTTAATCTGCTCATGAAATATTGGAGTTGAAAACAACCCCCTCATTCTCAGGAGAATTGGTAGCATTAATGGAAACTGAGATTGGTAACTACTCATAAGGGACAAATATACTTTTAATTTGCAAATGGGAGACAGAGTGATGGTGAACAACATCTGCGGATCCAGACTGCCTGGGGTCAATCCTGACCCTACTCTTTCCTTGCTGCATGTTCTTGGGAAAATTACTTAATCTCTGGGCTTCAGTATTCTCATCTCTAAAATGGGTACAAAAATCACAGGATAAGGAACTTCCCTGGTGATCCAGTGATTAAGAATCCATCTGCCAGCGCAGGGACACAGGTTCTATCCCTGGTCCAGGAAGATCCCACATGCCGTAGAGCAAATGAGCCTAGGCACCACAATTACTGAAGCTCAAGCATCTAAAGCCTGAGCCCCAACACAAGAGGATCCAGCTCAATGAGAAGCCCACG